CTGCCCCCTGGGAATCCTGGGGCCCTGCCCCACACAGCTCCCACCCAATCCAGCCCGCCCCCTGGGAATCCCGCCCCCCACCCTCGCTTCCCTGCTTCTTGCCCTAGAGAAAGAGGCGGGCACACACACTGGGAGAGCCGCACAGACACAGAGCCACACTTTGAGACACAACCACACATACACACAATATCACATACACACCGGGAAGACATTACACACACACACACTAGGGAGACCCACACACAGAGAGAGCCGCACACAGACGGACACAACCACACGCCCAATATCACAGACAACTCACACAAGAGACACAATCCCACACATGCACAAACACACACACACTGAGTCACAGCCCCACGCACAATAGCACAGCCACAATAGACATAACCACACACAAAATCACTCACACAGGAGACACAACCACACACCCACAATTTCACAGACACACATGCCAGGAGATGCACACACACAGAGCCATAACACACACACATTATCACCAACGCACACACTACGGAGACCCACACACAGTGAGACACAATGACACACCTAATGTCACAAACAACACATGCAAAAAACACAATCCCACACCTGCACAATCACTCACACAGGAAACACGAACACACACACACTCACACTGAGTCACAGCCCCACACACGAGACACGACCCTAGAGAGAATATCATACACAGGACACACAACTGCATGCACAAGCACACACACAGGGGCAACACACTAACACAAACACCACCACACACAAATGGGAATCACTGAACGGCGGTGTGAGGGTTTCACCCCGGGACCATCACCACGGTATCTGGGCACCGCCCGCATCCCATCAAGCATCACAGGGAAATCAGGGCGTAACCCCCTGCCACTCCCCCCCCAATTCTGGCCTTTTCACAGTCCAGGCTCTGCTTGGGGCAGGGCTGGTTTTGGCGGGTGCTGGGGGGGAGCGGCTGAGTCAAAGCCCCATAGCCCCTCCCTCAGCCCCACAGGGCAGTGTGGGAAATCAGCACCTCCACCGTCCCTTTAACCCATTGCCTACCAGGGGAGAGCGCCCCCTGCTGAGCCCCCTGCCCCACTCCCTGCCCCCCAGTGCCGCCCTGGGGACAGCCTGTCCTGCCGGGGAAGAGCGCCCCCCTGAGCCCCCTGCCCTGCTCCCTGCCCCACAGTGCCCCCTAGCGCCCCATGGGACACTAAACAACTGCACTGAGCTACTCACTCAAATGCTGGCAAATGATGGGTTAATATTGCTCGATTGTGGTTCTGGACTGATGAGTATGGGGGGTGGGAGGCTGCGGGTCGGGAGTGAGTGGCACCGGCTGAGCTGGGGGGGGGGGGGGGGGGCTGCGGGTTGGGAGTGAGGGGCACCGGCAGGGCTGGGGGGCAGGGGCTGTGGGTCGGGAGTGAGGGGCACTGGCTGAGCTGCGGAGGGCGGGGGGGCCTGCGGGTCGGGAGTGAGGGGCACCGGCTGAGCTGCGGTGGGGCTGCAGGTCGGGAGTGAGGGACACCGGCCAAGCTGCGGGGGGGGGGGGGGGGGGGCTGTGGGTCGGGAGTGAGGGGCACCGGCCAAGCTGCGGGGGGGGGGGCGCTGTGGGTCGGGAGTGAGGGGCACTGGCCGAGCGCGTGGCTGGATGGAGCGTGGGGTTAACTCCGGCGTGGAGCCTTTTAAGGTCATGGTGGCCGGGGCGGGGGGGGGGGGCCTGCGGTCTTTGGGGGCGGGGGGGGGTGGGCGTGGGAGCGTGATTCATTTGTTCTCCCCGTTAACGATTACGCAGAGGAACCTCCCGCCCCCCCCCGGCCCCACGCCTTTCCAGCTGCCAGGCCCCACGCCAGGCGGCTGCTGGGGGGGGCGGGGCTGGGGGTGGGGGACAGGGAAAGTGAGAGTGCCAGGGATTGTGTGTCACGTCGGTGCCCGGTTTGCCACCACACACGAGAGACGTGCGCCCGGGTGGGAGGGTTACTAGCGTGTGTCCCGAGCCGTGCCCACAAGTACCCACCCGTGTGCAAGAGAGACGGGGGCGTGCGAGAGACAGAGACAGTTCACGGGTGCGGGCGCCCAGGCAAAGGGGCAGCAGGGGGCACGGGGCCGGGCGCGGTCCCAGTAACACGGGTGATCTTGGCGGCGACCCGGTGGCGTGGGCACCACGGCTGCCCCTGGGCATGTGCCCAAACCTCCACCCCTGAGCGCGCGGGGGCCTGAGCGTCCGTCCCGGCGCTTGCACGAGCATGTCCGTGCGAGTCTGCCCGTGCTGGGAGGGCACCTCCTGGCGTGGGCCATGCTGCCTGTCAGCAGCCACCATGCAGGGAGAGGTGGTGGCAGGCGGCGCGGGGGACGTGGGGCGTGTCCTGCCATGGGGCAGCTGAGGTGCTGGAGGCAGGGCCCGGCGGGGAGGGTGACCCAGGGACCCCTCGCCCGGCGCCGAGATGCGGCCACCTCTGGGGCGGGGCGGCGGGCGACCCAGGGACCCCACGCCCAGCGCCGAGATGCGGCCACCTCTGGGGCGGGGCGGCGGGCGCCCCAGGGACCCCTCGCCCGGCGCCAGATGCGGACACCTCTGGGGCGGGGCGGCGGGGACCCAGGGACCCCTCGCCCGGCGCCGAGATGCGGCCACCTCTGGGGCGGGGCGGCGGGCGCCCCAGGGACCCCTCGCCCGGCGCCGAGATGCGGCCACCTCTGGGGCGGGGCGGCGGGGACCCAGGGACACCTCGCCCGGCGCCGAGATGCGGCCACCTCTGGGGCGGGACGGCCGGCGACCCAGGGACCCCTCGCCCGGCGCCGAGATGCGTCCACCTCTGGGGCGGGGCGGCCGGCTACCCAGGGACCCCACGCCCGGCGCCGAGATGCGGCCACCTCTGGGGCGGCGCAGCGGGGACCCAGGGACTACTCGCCCGGCGCCGAGATGCGGCCACCTCTGGGGCGGGACGGCCGGCGACCCAGGGACCCCTCGCCCGGCGCCGAGATGCGGCCACCTCTGGGGCGGGGCGGGGGAGACCCAGGGACCCCTCGCCCGGCGCCGAGATGCGGCCACCTCTGGGGCGGGGCGGCGGGCGCCCCAGGGACCCCTCGCCCGGCGCCGAGATGCGGCCACCTCTGGGGCGGGGCGGCGGGCGCCCCAGGGACCCCTCGCCCGGCGCCGAGATGCGGCCACCTCTGGGGCGGGGCGGCGGGCGCCCCAGGGACCCCTCGCCCGGCGCCGAGATGCGGCCACCTCTGGGGCGGGGCGGCGGGCGCCCCAGGGACCCCTCGCCCGGCGCCGAGATGCGGCCACCTCTGGGGCGGGCGGCGGGCGCCCAGGGACCCCTCGCCCGGCGCCGAGATGCGGCCACCTCTGGGGCGGGGCGGCGGGCGCCCCAGGGACCCCACGCCCGGCGCCGAGATGCGGCCACCTCTGGGGGCGGGCGGCGGGCGCCCAGGGACCCCTCGCCCGGCGCCGAGATGCGGCCACCTCTGGGGCGGGGCGGCGGGGACCCAGGGACCCCTCGCCCGGCGCCGAGATGCGGCCACCTCTGGGGCGGGCGGCGGGCGCCCCAGGGACCCCACGCCCGGCGCCGAGATGCGGCCACCTCTGGGGCGGGCGGCGGGCGCCCCAGGGACCCTCGCCCGGCGCCGAGATGCGGCCACCTCTGGGGCGGGGCGGCGGGCGCCCCAGGGACCCCTCGCCCGGCGCCGAGATGCGGCCACCTCTGGGGCGGGGCGGCGGGCGCCCAGGGACCCCTCGCCCGGCGCCGAGATGCGGCCACCTCTGGGGCGGGGCGGCGGGCGCCCCAGGGACCCCTCGCCCGGCGCCGAGATGCGGCCACCTCTGGGGCGGGGCGGCGGGCGCCCCAGGGACCCCTCGCCCGGCGCCGAGATGCGGCCACCTCTGGGGCGGGGCGGCGGGCGCCCCAGGGACCCTCGCCCGGCGCCGAGATGCGGCCACCTCTGGGGGCGGGCGGCGGGCGCCCCAGGGACCCCTCGCCCGGCGCCGAGATGCGGCCACCTCTGGGGCGGGGCGGCGGGGACCCAGGGACCCCTCGCCCGGCGCCGAGATGCGGCCACCTCTGGGGCGGGGCGGCGGGCGCCCCAGGGACCCCACGCCCGGCGCCGAGATGCGGCCACCTCTGGGGCGGGGCGGCGGGCGCCCCAGGGACCCCTCGCCCGGCGCCGAGATGCGGCCACCTCTGGGGCGGGGCGGCGGGGACCCAGGGACCCCTCGCCCGGCGCCGAGATGCGGCCACCTCTGGGGCGGGGCGGCGGGCGACCCAGGGACCCCTCGCCCGGCGCCCAGATGTGGCCACCTCTGGGGCGGGGCGGCGGTTGGCCCAGGGACCCCTCGCCCGGCGCCGAGATGCGGCCACCTCTGGGGCGTGACGTGGGGGTAGTGAACAGCCGCACACTAGCAGCTGGGGGACAAGTGGGGGGCTGGGGCTTTCCTGTGGGGTGGTCCCCACGCTCCTACCTTTGCGTCTCTCCCCCACAGGGGCCGAGCTTGCGACGACAGGAGGGTTTGGGGTGGAAGTGGCCCCCCGCCCCACGGCTACGCCCGGGGGTTGCCCAAGGCAGGACGGGCTGACGCAACAGGCAGGAGCTTGCGCAGAGCGGGCAGGACCGGGCACGGGACTGGAAGGGAGGGCACGGCGGGGCGGGGGGAGAGGCTGGGGGGCCAGGCTGGGGCTGCCCAGCTGGGGGTCAGGAGGGTGCCCCGGGACAGGCTCCGACCCATGGCCACACGACCTGGGCCTTGTAATGACTGAAATGGACAAGAGACAAAACGTGATGCCCCCCAACAGCACGGAGCCCCCAGCCCAGGTCCCCCCCACGGGACAGCGCCACCCCTGAGCCCCCCCTACAGCACAGGGTCCCCCCCAGAGCCCCCGCCCGCAGCACAGCACCTCCCCAGAGCCCCCCCCGGCAGCACAGCACCCCCCATTGAGTGCCCCCCCAGCAACATCCCATCCCAAGGGTGGCGGGGGAAGGTCTATGGGGAAGCCAGTCAATATGGGGCGTCAATCACTCACCGCAGTGGGAGGAGCCTCGTCTCCACTCTCTCATTGGCTGGGCCCCGCTCCGGGTGCATTCGGCTCAGACCAGTAGGTGGGGCTGGGGAGGGGGGGGGCTAGGCCCCAGCCATACTGCGGGGGGGGCGCACTGGTCCTGCAGGGGGGCGAGACAGACGGTTAGAGAGGGGGCCGTGGCGAAAGCCTGCGAGTTACCCCTCCCCAACCCCGGGGCAACCCCCATCCGCAGGGGCATGGTGGGAACCCAGGAGTCCGGGACAGAGCCGGGATCCCCTCCGCGTCCTGTCAGACTGGCACAGGGTGGAGTGCCAGGGATCCCCGTTCACACCGGCCCACAGCGCTCTTCCCCAGAGGGGGCCGCATCTCAGCGCCGGGCGAGGGGTCCCTGGAAAACCAGCCCCGCCCCCCACATCCTGGCCGGTGCCCCTCATTCCCAACCCGCAGCCCCATGTTGTGTTTTGCTGCCCGCGGCTGGTACCTCGGCTCACTACCGGATCCGGCAGAGATCAGCCCCCCCACGGACCCCCCCGCCCGTGCCCCAGAGGTCCAGTTTCTGGGGGCAGCTAGCCGGAGCGGGGTCCTGCGTCGGGCGGCACACCCAGCGGGCAGGAGCCAGATAGGGGCTGGGCCGGGTGGGCCGCAGACGAGAGAGACGCCCCCCGCGCCTTGGGGCTTAACTGCCAGCATTCACCCCGCCGCGGGACCCCCCCCCCCGAGTGCCGCATCCCCTCCCCCCCGAGTGCCAGCATTCATCCCCTGCCCCGCTCAGGGTGGGCGTCCCAGCCCTTGCCAGCTGCCAGCACAGAGCCCCTGTGTGTGGTGTGTGTACGGGGGGGGTGGGGGGAAGTCCCAACACCCCCCCAGCCGCCCCAGGGGATAATGAACCAGTGTGCACGGACAATGCGGAGGGGGAGGGGAGCCGCGCCCCTCCAGCTGGGACAAGGGGCCCTTCAGAGCCAAGGGCTGGGGGGGGGGGGAGCTCCCACCGCTGCAGCTGGCAGAAGAGAGGGGGCAGGTGCCAGTCCCCCCACCCCATGTATCTCCTGCACTGGGAGTCAGCACCCTGAACAGCCATGGCCCTGGGGGTGGGTGGGGGCGCGCGGGGCTGACAAAGTGCCCAAGGGCCCAGAGTCCAACTAGACCCCACTCGCCTCCCAGAGCTGAGTCCTGGCTCCCAGCCGCCCCCTGCTCTAACCCACCAACTCCCACTCCCCGCCCTGAGCCGGTGAGAGAACCCAGGAGTCCTGGCTCCCAGTCCCCCCTGCTCTAACCACCAGCCCCCACTCCCCTCCCAGAGCCGGGGAGAGAACCCAGGAGTCCTGGCTCCCAGTCCCCCCTGCTCTAACCACCAGCCCCCACTCCCCGCCCTGAGCCGGTGAGAGAACCCAGGAGTCCTGGCTCCCAGTCCCCCCTGCTCTAACCACCAGCCCCCACTCCCCTCCCAGAGCCGGGGAGAGAACCCAGGAGTCCTGGCTCCCAGTTCCCCCTGCTCTAACCACCAGCCCCCACTCCCCTCCCAGAGCTGGGGAGAGAACCCAGGAGTCCTGGCTCCCAGTCCCCCCCTGCTCTAACCACCAGCCCCCACTCCCCTCCCACAGCCAGGGAGAGAACCCAGGAGTCCTGGCTCCCAGTCCCCCCGGCTCTAACCACCAGCCCCCACTCCCCTCCCAGTACCTGCAGTTTTAGCCCGAGGCTCCACCTCCCCACCAGCTGCTGCGCTGTCTGATGATGCAAGACCCAGTAACCTGGGGCAGGTGATGATGTAACAGCTCGGGGGGGGCTGGGGGGGCAGCTGGGCCCGGAGCCCTGGGACCCCAGAACTATTTCTGAGTGAGCCTGAATCCACCCCGGAGCCCAGGCCTGACGCGGGCCGAGGGAGCGGAGCACACGCAGGGCTGCGGGTCGGGAGTGAGGGGCACCGGCAGGGCTGGGGGGGCAGAGGCTGCGGGTCGGGAGTGAGAGGCACCGGCAGGGCTGGGGGGCAGAGGCTGCGGGTCGGGAGTGAGGGGCACCGGCAGGGCTGGGGGGCAGAGGCTGCGGGTCGGGAGTGAGGGGCACCGGCAGGGCTGGGGGGGCAGAGGCTGCGGGTCGGGAGTGAGGGGCACCGGCAGGGCTGGGGGGGCAGAGGCTGCGGGTCGGGAGTGAGGGGCACCGGCAGGGCTGGGGGGGCAGAGGCTGCGGGTCGGGAGTGGGGGGCACCGGCAGGGCTGGGGGGACGGAGGCTGCGGGTCGGGAGTGGGGGGCACCGGCAGGGCTGGGGGGGCGGAGGCTGCGGGTCGGGAGTGGGGGGCACCGGCAGGGCTGGGGGGGCGGAGGCTGCGGGTCGGGAGTGGGGGGCACCGGCAGGGCTGGGGGGCGGAGGCTGCGGGTCGGGAGTGGGGGGCACCGGAGGGCTGGGGGGCGGAGGGCGGGTCGGGAGTGGGGGGAGGCAGGGCTGGGGGGGAGGGGGGTCGGGGTGGGGGGGGAGGGGGGGGGGGGGGGGGGGGGGCCGGGGCGGGGGAGGGGAACACGCCTGTAAAGAGCTGGGGGGGGGGGGCAGTTAAAGGGCTGGAACAAGCTGGGAGCTGGCAGGCTGCCAAACCCTGGGGATCTCTGGGAAAACCCTGGGTCCGGACAGGATGGGGGGGGGGTATTTCCTAGCCCCACCCCATGTGGCTGTGGGGAGATTTCCCCGGCCCCATGCCAGGCCTGGCCTCTGATTCCCACGGGGAGGCCCCATCCCCCGCCCGGGCGGGGCCAGCCCCACCCCCAGGTGGGGGTGCAAAGGTTGTGGGGGAGGGGCGGCCCCTGCCCTTTGCCCAGGGAGGCTGAGTGGGGTGAGCCGGAGAGACAGGCCCAGCCAGCTCCGGGCGGGGGCAGGGCAGGGAGCCGGGGGCCCCGTCCCCACTAGGGGGCGCCAGTTTGGTGCCCTCCCCCACGCCATGAGAGAAGCGCCCCAGGCCTCAGCTGGGGTCCAGGGGGCCCTTGCGTACGGAGATGGGGAAATCTGTGGGTGTCAGGCCCTGGGGCTGCCGGGTTTGCTGCCATGGGGGGTTGTTAGTATCTCCCCCCTCCCCAGGCTTCTCCCTGCCCCCCCAGCTCTGCTGGTGCCCCTCACTCCCGACCTGCAGCCCCCCCAGCCCTGGGCCCCCAGCTCTGCCTGGGTAGGGGTGGGGGGGCGCGAGGGAACAGACTTAGGCGTGTTCTCTCCAGGGGCCCTTGGGCAGGGTCTGCCTGCTGTTTCCGGAGGGGGGGGGGGGGGAGACGAGACACCTGATTGGTCTGTGCCGCCCCCCCCCAATCCCTCAACAATCTGGTGGGCAGGAAGGAAGTCAGCTAGTGTTTAACCAGCCCCCCAGGATGGGGGGTGGGGGGCTCAGAGGGGCCAGACCATGTCCTCCCCCCACCCCACCCCTCGTGCTCAGGGCAGCACAACCCCACTCCCAAGTAGCTGGGCTGAGGTGAGGGGCGGTTAATGCGTAGGGGAACTGCTCCCACCCCAGCCCCACACCCTGCTCCACCTTCTACACCCCACACAGACCGGCCCAGGAAAGAGAAAGTTCACACCTGGGGCCATCTGCTGGGTTGCATGGGGCCCAGGGCTGGGCTAGCAGGAGCTGCGGGGCGGGAGTGAGGGGCACCGGCAGGGCTGGGGGGGGGCCGAAGGCTGGGCTAGCAGGGGCTGCGGGGCGGGAGTGAGGGGCACCGGCAGAGCTGGGGGGCCCAGGGCTTGGGGGCGCTCCATTCCCAGCTGTCCCCACTCACACAGGGGTACCTGGGTGCGGGCGTTTGGACGGTGCCAGGTGAGGTTGCCAGAGACCAGGCTGGCCCCAGGCTGTGCTAACTCTGGGGGGCCCGAGGCCAGGGTGAGGGGCTTGAAGCCAGTTCTGTTCCAGGCCCAGCAGCTTAGGGACTGAGGGCAACAGCTGCCTGCTCCAGTCCAGGAAATCTAATCCCCCCCCACACACACACCTTTAACCCACCAGCCCCGACACGGCCCCTAGTGCCGGGGAGAGAACCCAGGAGTCCTGGCTGCCAGCCCGCCCTGCTCTAGCCCACCAGCCCCCACCCCCTTCCCAGAGCCGGGGAGAGATCCCAGGGGGTGTGCACCACAGTGGCTCCTACCCGCCCATGCCCCCAGTTTCCTACAGGGAAAGCCCAGGGAATCCTAAGCAGGAATCCTCTAGCTCCAGGGTGTGTGTGTGTGTGTGTGTGAGGGGGGGTTAATCTTGGGGTGGTCAATTCCTTGGGCCCCCAGGAGTGGGGCTCCGGCCAATGGACCTCCCGACACAGCCCCACTCGTCTAGCTTGCGTCCCTGGGGCCGGATGGGAGCCGGCGCCCCCTGGAGGGGACAGCCCCTTGCCCCGGGGCCTCCCCATGATGCTGGGACCTCTGGGGCGTCCCACTGGGGGGGGGGGAAGGGCAGGGCACCCCGTCTGCACCCTCCCACGCCCGAGGTGGACCCAGAACCGCAGAACCCAGCAGGGCCCGCCTGCCCCACTCTGCACCAGGCAACCCACCTGGGCTGTTAAAGGGCCAGCACCTGTTCCCACCCCACCCACTCCACCCCTGCCAGCCACTGGGGGGGTCCCAGTGACCCCCCTTCACAGCTCCTCCTTAAAGCAGAACCCCCTCCCCCACACACAGTCCCTCTGTATTTAGGGCTTTCAGTGGGGCTGAGTGCAGACCCCCATCTGGGGCGTTATGGGGCAGCTGCCTGCTGGGTGGGGGCCCCCCAACTCCTAGCCAGCCACTCCTGGCAGCCCCCCACACGTCCCCCCGCCAAGTCCTTTTGTGTGCCCCCAAACAGTGGCGATAAATCAGCCCCCCTCCCAATGCACAGAGACCGGCCCCTTCTAGACCCACACACTGTGACCCCCCCCCGCGAATTACGCCCCCACAGCGACTCCCACACACTGCGGACCCCCCACACACACCTTGACAAAACTATCTGCTGGGTTGGATTTGGATCACACCGGGCTCAGGGATCCCTGGGGATACTCCTGATGTGCACTGGGGCCAAGGTCTGAATTAGCCCAGTGACTCTGGCAGAGTTACTCCTGATTTACACCGGAAGCAGAGCCCAGTGACTCTGGCAGAGTGACTCCTGATTTACACCGGGATCAGAGCCCCATGACTTCAGCGGAGTGACTCCTGATTTACACCGGGATCAGAGCCCCATGACTCCGGCAGAGCGACTCCTGATTTACACCTGGAGCAGAGCCCAGTGACTCCAGCAGAGTGACTCCTGATTTACGCCGGGATCAGAGCCCAGTGACTCCAGCGGAGTGACTCCTGATTTACACCGGGACAGTGCCCAGTGACTCTGGCAGAGTGACTCCTGATTTACACCGGGACAGTGCCCAGTGACTCTGGCAGAGTGACTCCTGATTTACACTGGGATCAGAGCCCAGTGACTCTGGCAGAGTGACTCCTGATTTACCAGGAGCAGACCCCCATGACCTCAGCCGAGTGATTCCTGATTTACACCGGGGGATTTGGCCCATCTCCAATGGAGTGACTCCCAATTTACACCAGGAACAGAAGGGATTCTACCACTGATTCCAGTGGCGTGACTCCAGATTTATACCGGGAACGGAAAGAAACGGGACCGGTGACTCCCGATTTACACCAGCGGGGAACGAACCAGGTGACTCCGGCGGAGTGACTCCCGGTTTACACCGGGGGTGGGGGGAACGGGCCCGGTGACTCCGGCGGAGTGCCTGCCGGTTTACACCGGGGAGTGGGGGGAACGGGCCCGGTGACTCCGGCGGAGTGCCTGCCGGTTTACACCGGGGAGTGGGGGGAACGGGCCCGGTGACTCCGGCGGAGTGACTCCCGATTTCCACCCGGCTCCGGCTCCGGCTCCGGCTCCGCCGCCCGGCCCGACCGTCCCTTTAAAGGTCCCGCGGGCCGGGCCGGGCCGAGCCGAGCCAAGCCAAGCCGGGCCAGGCCTCCGCCCGCCGGCTGCCCCAACAAAGCGGCGGCCCCGATCCCGGCCCCGAACAAAGCCCCCCCCCTACCTGCGGCTCCCGGGGGTCCCGGCTGGGGGGGAGGGGAATCCGGCCCGGCCCGGCCCTGCCCCACGGCCCGGCCCCACTCCCCGGCCAGCGAGCGCCGCTCCTGCCTCGCCTCCGCCGCGTTCCCCCCCAGCCTCTCGCCACTCAAACAAAGAGCCGAGGCGGGTTGTGTTGGGAGCCCAGCCCCCACCCCCCGGCCGAGACAGCCCTGCCCCTCCCCCTCCCCGCCCCCCCCTTTCCGGCCCAGCCAGCCTCACTTCCATCTTCCCGGCACCCCGCCCCCCCGCCCGCCGGGACCAGCCGGGAGCGCCCCACGCGCGGAGACCCAACTGCGGGGGTGGAAGGGGGGGTGCATGAGGGGGGGTCCACAGAGGGGCACAGAGTGAGGGTGGAGGGGGGTGCATGGAGGGGCAGGCGTGGGGGTGAAGGAAGGGGGTGCATGAAGGGGGGTGCACGGAGGGGCACAGAGTGAGGGTGGAGGGGCGGGTGCATGGAGGCGCCGGCGTGGGGTAGAGGGAGGGGGTGTACGGAGGGACACAGGTGTGGGGGTGGAGGGAGGGGTGCATGAAGGGGGGTGCATGGAGGGGCACAGAGTGAGGGTGGAGGATGGGGTGAGCAGAGTGGTAGGCATGTGCGTGGATTTGTAGAGACAGTGGTACACCGGCTAATGGACAGGTGGCTAGAGGGGTGGTGTGGGGAAGCATGGGGGGAGGCATGGCCTGGGGGGATGGATGGACGACTGGAGAAAGGGAAGGATGGATGGTGGCATAAACACAGATCCATGACTACGGTCGGCAGGTATGTCTGAAATCTGGACGATGTTCGGATGCATGTGAGTGGATATGTGGGGATGGGTGGAGGGATGGTGGGCATGGACATGGGTATAGATTGATGGTTGGATGGGCATCAGTGGGGGGATTGATGGTTGGACGCATGGGGAAGGAGGATGGGTGAGGGGATCGATGGTTGGACGGATGGGGACGCGGATGGGTGAGGGGATCGATGGTTGGACGGATGGGGACGCGGATGGGTGAGGGGATCGATGGTTGGACGGGTGGGGACGCGGATGGGTGGGTGGATGGATGGTTGGACGGGTGGGGAAGGGGGATCGATAGTTGGACGGGTGCGGAAGGGGGATGGGTGGTGGGATCGATGCTTGGACGGGTGGGGAAGGGGGATGGGCGGGGGGATCGAGGGTTGGACGGGTGGGAATGCGGATGGGTGGGTGGATCGAGGGTTGGACGGCTGGGGAAGTGGATGGGTGGGTGGATCGAGGGTTGGACGGGTGGGAATGCGGATGGGTGGGTGGATCGAGGGTTGGACGGCTGGGGAAGTGGATGGGTGGGTGGATCAAGGGTTGGACGGGTGGGAATGCGGATGGGTGGGTGGATCGAGGGTTGGACGGCTGGGGAAGTGGATGGGTGGGTGGATCGAGGGTTGGACGGGTGGGGAAGTGGATGGGTGGGTGGATCGATGGTTGGAAGGGGATGGGCAGGTGGAACGATGGTTGGACGGGTGGGGAAGGGGCTGGGTTGGGGGATCGAAGCTTGGACGGGTGGGGAAGGTGCTGGGTTGGGGGATCGAAGCTTGGACGGGTGGGGAAGGGGCTGGGTGTGGGGATCGATGGTTGGATGGGTGGGGAAGGGGATGGGTGGGGGGATCGATGGTTGGACGGGTGCGGAAGTGGATGGGTGGGTGGATCGAGAGTTGGATGGGTGGGTGGATCGAGGGTTGGACGTGTGGGGAAGGGGCTGGGTGGGTGGATTGATGGTTGGATGGGTGGGGAAGGGGATGGGTGTGGGGATCGATGGTTGGATGGGTGGGGAAGGGGATGGGTGTGGGGATCGATGGTTGGATGGGTGGGGAAGGGGATGGGTGGGTGGATCGAGAGTTGGATGGGTGGGTGGATCGAGGGTTGGACGTGTGGGGAAGGGGCTGGGTGGGTGGATTGATGGTTGGAAGGGGATTGGCAAGTGGAACGATGGTTGGACGGGTGGGGAGGGGCTGGGTGGGTGGATCAAGGGTTGGACGGGTGGGGACGCGGATGGGTGGGTGGATGGATGGTTGGACGGGTGGGGAAGGGGGATGGGTGAGGGGATCGATGGTTGGACGGGTGGGGACGCGGATGGGTGGGTGGATGGATGGTTGGACGGGTGGGGAAGGGGGATCGATAGTTGGACGGGTGCGGAAGGGGGATGGGCGGTGGGATCGATGCTTGGACGGGTGGGGAAGGGGGATGGGCGGGGGGATCGAGGGTTGGACGGGTGGGGAAGGGGGATGGGCGGGGGGATCGATGCTTGGACGGGTGCGGAAGTGGATGGGTGGGTGGATCGAGGGTTGGACGGGTGGGAATGCGGATGGGTGGGTGGATCGAGGGTTGGACGGCTGGGGAAGTGGATGGGTGGGTGGATCGAGGGTTGGACGGGTGGGGAAGTGGATGGGTGGGTGGATCGAGGGTTGGATGGGTGGGGAAGTGGATGGGTGGGTGGATCGATGGTTGGAAGGGGATGGGCAGGTGGAACGATGGTTGGACGGGTGGGGAAGGGGCTGGGTTGGGGGATCGATGGTTGGATGGGTGGGGAAGGGGATGGGTGGGTGGATCGAGAGTTGGATGGGTGGGTGGATCGAGGGTTGGACGTGTGGGGAAGGGGCTGGGTGGGTGGATTGATGGTTGGAAGGGGATGGGCAAGTGGAACGATGGTTGGACGGGTGGGGAGGGGCTGGGTGGGTGGATCGAGGGTTGGACGGGTGGGGAAGGGGCTGGGTGGGGAGATCGGTGGTTGGAAGGGGATGGGCGGGTGGATCGGTGGTTGGAAGGGGATGGGCGGGTGGATAGGTGGGTGGATGGATGGTTGGACGGGTGGGGAAGGGGCTCGGTGGGTGGATGGATGGTTGGACGGGTGGGGAAGGGGGATAGGTGGGTGAATACGGACCGTGGACTTCAGAAAAGCAGACTTTGACTCCCTCAGGGAACGGATGGGTAGGATCCCCTGGGAGGCTAATATGAGGGGGAAAAGGAGTCCAGGAGAGCTGGCTGTATTTGAAAGAATCCTTATTGAGATTACAGGGACAAACCATCCCGATGTGTCGAAAGAATAGTAAATATGGCAGGCGACCAGCTTGGCTTAACAGTGAAATCCTTGCTGATCTTGAACACAAAAAAGAAGCTTACAAGAAGGGGAAGATTGGACAAATGACCAGGGAAGAGTATAAAAATATTGCTCGGGCATGCAGGAGTGAAATCAGGAAGGCCAAATCACACCTGGAGTTGCAGCTAGCAAGAGATGTTAAGAGTACCAAGAAGGGTTTCTTCAGGTATGTTGGCAATAAGAAGAAAGCCAAGGAAAGTGTGGGCCCCTTACTGAATGAGGGAGGCAACCTAGTGACAGAGGATGTGGAAAAAGCTAATGTACTCAATGCTTTTTTGCCTCTGTCTTCACGAACAAGCTCAGCTCCCAGACTGCTGCACTGGGCAGCACAGCATGGGGAGGAGGTGACCAGCCCTCTGTGGAGAAAGAGGTGGTTAGGGACTATTTAGAAAAGCTGGACGAGCACAAGTCCATGGGGCCGGATGCGCTGCATCCGAGAGTGCTGAAGGAATTGGCGGCTGTGATTGCAGAGCCATTGGCCATTATCTTTGAAAACTCACGGCGATCGGGGGAAGTCCCGGACGACTGCAAAAAGGCTAATGTAGTGCCCATCTTTAAAAAAGGGAAGAAGGAGGATCCTGGGAACTACAGGCCAGTCAGCCTCACCTCAGTCCCTGGAAAAATCATGGAGCAGGTCCTCAAGGAATCAATTCTGAAGCACTTAGAGGAGAGGAAAGTGATCAGGAACAGTCAGCATGGATTCACCAAGGGCAACTCATGCCTGACTAATCTAATCGCCTTTTATGATGAGATTACTGGTTCTGTGGATGAGGGGAAAGCGGTGGACGTGTTGTTCCTTGACTTTAGCAAAGCTTTTGACACGGTCTCCCACAGTATTCTTGTCAGCAAGTTAAGGAAGTATGGGCTGGATGAATGCACTGTAAGGTGGGTAGAAAGCTGGCTAGATTGTCGGGCTCAACGGGGAGTGATCAATGGCTCCATGTCTAGTTGGCAGCCGGTATCAAGTGGAGTGCCCCAAGGGTCGGTCCTCAGGCTGGTTTTGTTCAATATCTTCGTTAATGATCTGGAGGATGGTGTGGATTGCACCCTCAGCAAATTTGCGGATGATACTAAACTGGGAGGAGTGGTAGATACGCTGGAGGGGAGGGATAGGATACAGAGGGACCTAGACAAATTGGAGGATTGGGCCAAAAGAAATCGGATGAGATTCATCAAGGACAAGTGCAGAGTCCTGCACTTAGGACGGAAGAACCCAATGCACTGCTACAGACTAGGGACCGAATGGCTAGGCAGCAGTTCTGCGGAAAAGGACCTAGGGGTGACAGTGGACGAGAAGCTGGATATGAGTCAGCAGTGTGCCCTTGTTGCCAAGAAGGCCAATGGCATTTTGGGATGTATAAGTAGGGGCATAGCGAGCAGATCGAGGGACGTGATCGTTCCCCTCTATTCGACATGGGTGAGGCCTCATCTGGAGTACTGTGTCCAGTTTTGGGCCCCACACTACAAGAAGGATGTGGATAAATTGGAGAGAGTCCAGCGAAGGGCAACAAAAATGATTAGGGGTCTGGAACACATGACTTATGAGGAGAGGCTGAGGGAGCTGGGATTGTTTAGCCTGCAGAAGAGAAGAATGAGGGGGGATTTAATAGCTGCTTTCAACTAACTGAAGTGGGTTCCAAAGAGGATGGATCTAGACTGTTCTCAGTGGTAGCAGATGACAGAACAAGGAATAATGATCTCACGTTGCAGTGGGGGACGTTTAGGTTGGATATTAGGAAAAACATTTTCATGAGGAGGGTGGTGAAGCACCGGAATGGGTTCCCTCGGGAGGTGGTGGAATCAGAGGTTTTCAAGGCCCGGCTTGACAAAGCCCTGGCTGGGATGATTTAGTTGGGGTTGGTCCTGCTTTGAGCAGGGGGTTGGACGAGATACCTCCTGAGGCCCCTTCCAACCCTGATCTTCGATGAGTCTATGATCGATGGTTGGAGAGGTGGGGAGGGAGGATGGGTGGGGTAGCGATGGTTGGACGGGTGGGGAAGGGGG